CCTGGAGCTGATCCGTGCTGGTTGCTGAGGAAATACTACAACTTCGCGCTGTGGATCACCGGATCGGCTTTCACCGTGGACGAAGCGGAGTCCAGCCCGGACTCCTGGACACATGTCCTTCCGGACGCTCCTTCGTCGAAATCGCCAGCCGCGCCGTTCTCAAACCCACCGCCTCTGCTCACTCTAACCCTCCCACCGTTCCTCACGCTAGCCCCCGGCCTCTGCTCACTGTAGGCCGCCGCACACTCTAGGTCGCCGTGTGTGACGCTGTTTCGTTGTGAAAGCGAAACTACTTTGTTTGGCCTTCCAAAAATGGACACGACCAGAAATCAGTGGTTAAGTTGTATTTACAACACTGTTCCAGAACACTTCAACCCAAATATTCAGAACAATAATGTACAGTATGTGGAAAATAATGTTTTTTTAACCTTAAACCGCATAAACACATTTCATTACACCAAATACACAAAATAATGTTCTTTTTAGCAGCATCATATGACCCCTTTAAGATTGATGTGGTTTGGAATTGGTAAAATGTGATTAGATAAAAAATATCATCAGAATATCAACGTGCCTAATAATTATGCACACGGTATACTGTATATATGTCTGTGTGTGTGTGTGTATTATAATATTTTAGTTAAAGATTTTACAATTTTGTTGTCAACAATGTCTTTTTGTCATTATTGATAGTTTTTGTCATTAATATGTCTATCATTTTGATTCATTTGCTTTAGTTTATTTAGTTTTAATACTTCAAGTTAAACCAAACTAAAAATGATAAATATCTTGAAAATATTTTTTATATTTTATTTCAGTTAACATTTATTGCAAGTAACAAAATATTTTAAGAAATATTAAAATATTTTAGTTTTAGGTAACCACAATAACCCTGGCTTACAAGTATATACAGTATATTCGTAAACCATATGCTTAACTATTGCATATATAATCTAAGTTGGCTCACCTGCACACTTTGAGGCGTGTAGCCGTTCCACAGGAAGTTGGTGCTGATTATGGGTTTGATGTGTATTTCTGTGCTTCGGTCTCCATCATTCCATATATCAGTAACTGCACTGTAGTGCACAGATGCCTGACTGCAGACTCCCTTATGACATGGGGTTTGAGACAGCTCCACCTCACAGGAGGACAGGACTAAATCAACGCCAAGGCCCTTCTCATCTGCCACTGGAGTCAAATCTTTAACATTTTAGTATGTAAAAAAAGAATATTTACTATTTGCAGATTTTCAAAGCACTGAGGGACATTTCTGACACATATTTTAAAGATTTAATATTTAGAACAAAATATTACAAGTTTGAGTAAAAATGTGAATTTCGCAAAACCTATGTCCCAAAATCTAAAGATATTTTTTTCTCATTATTGTATTAAAGCAGACAAAAACATACTGAAATTGTTTTTAATTAAAATAAGAACATATTAAAAATAATTAAAACAAATACTATTGTGAAAAAAATTTATATTGTAATATTTGCACATACAGTAATGAGAAAAGGATTCTGATGGTCTAAAAATATATTTATTTTCTTTATAATATTATTTTTGACCACCTTGATTACTAGAAGTAAGATGCAAAAGCAAAGTGCATCTCTGTGAGGAACATGGTAAAGGTACTGTGCTCTCCACTATCAGTTCATACTCTCTCCCATCTTCTGAAATAGAGACAGCTTGTGGTTTCATCTGGAAAACATACATACAAATATGATAAGTCTAGTGGAAATCATATATTTTATGCAACATATCCTCGAGAACTGAGACATACTTGGATGCCTGCGTAAAACTCTTCACTCTCCACAGGAAGGCTTTGCATATCGGGAGACTCCAGAAAAAAACTAGTGCAACTGCAATGGATCTAAGACACAAAATATATAGGTTAAGGTTAATAAATAGGAATTTGAATAAATGTGAATACTGAATACAAAGTGGGTACCCTGTCTCCCAGTCGCAGGTTAATTCCATCCAGCTCAATGAAAGCAAAGGCCTCTATTGTAGTGTCTTTCCTGAGCTCTTCTCTGGTGCCCTCGGG